GGCTTCTTTTGTTTTCCAAGAAAATTATCAAAAAAGGAAATTTTTAGGAAAACTGGGGATCAGCGGAAAGAGTTTTTCATTACTTTTTTTTTATTGATTAAAAATTTAATTTTAGTAATATATAGAAAATGTGTATAGTTTACAAATAGTTTAATAAAGTATGTATAATCAATCTAATAGGAGATAAAAATAAAAATAAAATTTAAATTAAATATTTTTATATAAATAAAATCAATATTTTAATTAAAGAAAGAACTTTGGCAATACCAATAAAATATTAAATAAATATTTTAAGCAAGAAAAACTTTATTAATATTCATTAATAAAATAACAAAAAGTTATTTGATAATATTGTAAAAATTTAAATATTTGAATAGAAATATTATTATAAATAACTTAATGCATTAATTTGTAAACCATAATTGAAATATATTTAATACTGTACATCCTTGAAAAAACCATATCATCCAAGATTTCTTTTGCATATTATAAATAAACAATAGCGTAGCGATGGTAGGTAAGTAAACATAAAAAATTTTTCAAGTGCTTCGTCTCCGAACAAACGAACAAACAAACAAACAAATATTTGCCAATAGTTTCTTCAACATCTATTCACGTGCCACCGTAAAAAAAAAAAAAAACCAAAAAACGCGTAATTTAAACTTGATAAATTGTACGGCATATCTGATATACTGTATGTGCGATATATAAATTATAAATACATAAATATGGTATACATGTTAAATCCATTAACACATGGTTTATGCAATTACGGGCACGTGCAATCGGTGCGAGAGAAAAAATTTCTCTCGGGGCTTTACCCAGGTGAAGAGAGAGATCCCACATGGAGAATCGCGGACCTGATTCCGTACAAGTAATGCTAAACGTGCGAGATCTGTACATTTACAGTGTGGTCCAATTGAACATTCGTTGGGGCTAAGTTTTAAGGGCTAAGTTATCAAGACATAATTCCATAAAAAATTTTTTTTCCTTGATGAAATAATCAAAAAAAAAAAGTTGGCATAATACAAGATTACCAAATCCAGCCACCTTTATTATTAAACCTAATTAAGAAACTAGCAATAAGTTAACGTCTTAAATGGGATAATTATTCACAGGAAGATGATTTCGGAAGCCCCATTATTAATCCATTACCAAAGCCATTCTACGCGTACATATCAGCATACATTTGAACATGGATTCAGGAAAGAATACAGGCATACTATAAAAAAAAGGTTTCAGGGCTCAAATCTGAAAAAAAAAAATTTTTTCTATTTTGCGTGAACAGTGATCGCCACGTGATCGGATTGATCTCACCCCTGTTTCCCATGTCGAATCTCCAAAAAAGGACAATAGACCACAAGTCTCGAGCCCTAATGCCAAAGATAACACTCGGAGATTTTCTTTTGAAAAGTTTTTCTCAAGGGCTCCAGAACCTTTCCTTTGAGATACGAACCAATATGGAGTTTGCTAAATCGAAACCCCGCTTTGGTGACTAGGGGTTACTGTATGCGTAATACCATCCATCACCTTCGTATAATGCGATGCGATATAATGCTACGTGCACTGTACATAAGAATCCTAATCTTCGGACTAAGGTTAGTAGCATAGCATTGCGGGGTATGCATGTAGCCACATAATAGGGAGCATTGTCACAGCATTAAGAATAACCTTCGTATGCATGAACTGACGAAAATCACATGCAATATTATAATTATTACCATCTGACGGAACGAGGAAATTGTGTTGGTATCACTTCCGCTTACAAAGAACCCAGAAAATCTATTTTTTTTTTGTGCATCCAAGATGAGATATCATTGGTCCAAAAAAAAAAAATTTTTTTTTTCTATCTCGATGAAGTCCATTGTTTATCGATTCCAATTCTAAGCTTTCATTTATACACTCTAATAATGCATACTAAAATAACACGATTCCATAATAAATATTATTCAATTTAATGTGACTCATGAATCGAATGGTCAAAGGGAAGCATTCTAATTAAGAGGGATTATTTATAGCAGGTCGAGTGTATTCTATATCGTTATATCGTAGAGCAAGCAAACAACAGTCTTGGCAATGAGGGGCAGTGCCATGCCATTAATTCTTCGCCCCCCCCCGCTCAGTGGAATCCCTCGTCACTTCATACAAGTTGATTTTTGTTCGGGGGACTAAACACTTTGCCACTATCAATGAGCGAACTTGTTCATCAATTTTTTAATTCATCTCACTTAATGTAAATCTGCTGTATACTCAAGTCAACATAATGGTGAAAAAAGCCACCACTAAGGTTACAGGTTCATAACAGGTTCCAAGTTCCTATAGTAATAGGAGTAGTGTAACCACACTATCTAAGCACAATGTCCGAGTGACAGCGGTAAGACAGCGGTAAATCTGAGGTTACAATCAGAGCTGTAGGCAATATCAGCTTGCACTAAGTTAGCAAGTGTTCATACAACGTTCAGCAATTCCGTGTCATACCATTTATCCCTGTGTGCACCATGCGCCTTGCTTTGGGCGCAAACATCTTTTACAATAGAACTAATATATAAGGACTATACAAACTACTCATTCGAAATTTTTTGTGAGAAAAAAAAAAAAACTTTGTTCCATGTTTCACTCTTCCTACGTTTAACCTTAAAACATCGCCTCGATAACAAAGTGAAACCATCGTATCATATAAAAAGTTATTTTAGATTAAGAAAAAGAAAAATGTCCGAAACCACAATGATATCAGCCTCATGTTGGCTCGAGGAAGCCGTTGATCAGGGATGTTTAAACTTCCATGATTTCGAGAAATTCTCGGATTTCACATCGATAGGCAACGGACCATTTGGCGAGGTGTATCGTGCACAATGGAAAATTCGTGGTCTGGTCGTGGCATTAAAAAGTTGGATGGATGCGACAGGCAAAGAGGAAAAAAAGATGTTGGACGGATTCATAAGTGAGGTGAATATCGCATTTGATAAAATTAGAGTTTGGGTAGATATACTGTGTGCCGATTTATGTGAACTTACAAAGTTCACCTGTTAAATTTTAATCCAGCTAAAGATGCATCGAAAAGTTGATTATCATCCAAACATTCTAAGATTCTATGGAATGAGTCAAGGTGACGATTCTTCTTGTGAAAACTTCAAAGGATTTATCCTATTATCATCGTCTCATCATGTTTTCGTATTCGATCGACCATCCCAATTCTTTTTATCCACTTCACAAAGACCTATGTTCTAAGAAGTATCTACTGGTCTTTGAATATGCGGATGGAGGAACCCTCCGACAATACTTGAAACAAAATCATTCATCACTAACATGGGCCGATAAAATAAATCTCGCAAGGCAGGTGACAAGTGGTGTCGCGTGCTTGCATGATAACGACATTTCGTTGAGAGAATTGGTGATTATCCAATATTTCTGACATTCTTGAAATAAATTGCATACTAAAAAAAAAGAATTTTTTTTTTTTTCCTCTTCTTCTTCCATCTCATCCATAACAGCACCCCAACAATATCCTGGTTAAAGAAGGTGCAATAAAAATTTCAGACATTAGCTTGTCAAAGCAAATTTCTCAAACTCCCAACACGGTTTCGGATAAAGGTGACATCGCATATGTAGAACCACAGAATTTGAAAAGTCTACAATACGGGCGAAACGACAGATCGGACATCTATAGCATTGGGGTGCTACTATGGGAAATATCAAGTACGTATTCCTATCTAGTGAATCTTATTTGAAGAATTTTTATCACTACCTTCTGACATCTGATCAACCTCGGTTATTGAACACAGCGTTCCGTCGCTACTCGCACTTTCGGTAGGAGAACTTGAAAATATTCTATCATCGGAGCCTCCTACATTCATTATTCCTCCGTCCGAATCTCTTCGCGCCCTAATTGGCCTCGTGCTGCCCGGTATATTAATGACATTCCCACTTGACAAACTATCACCGCTCTTCCTTCTAGAAGGAATCTCGGTGTTTAACAGTCTATTCAAGACCTCGTGTACATTTGGCCGTTTGCTCGGATCATCTTCCCAACATTGTCTATATGTTTCGAGGTATTCACGAGGAGTACCCTTCACGGGCTCTTCCCGTTCTCCATTAGCTATTCGCTCAGCGATTTTGATTTGAGACATAGCAGTAGGTGGTGTGGACGACG